CTGCTGGGTTTCTCTTTTCTAGTCTGCATACTCCATGTTTGCACTCTCGCCGTCCTTCAGCATCTGGTGCCTTTCCCTCACTTCTAGAAGCCCCAAGAACCACTGAGAGTTTTTATTGATTCTGGGGTTGCCTAGGATGGGCTGCTCTGTCTGTGTTATTCGGATCAGGTGGGATACCACTTCTGGGCTTTCTGAGGCCCTATTCACCCACCCCACAACCTGCAGAGGATGGTGATCAGTCACAGCCAGGGGTTGTGGGGTGGGGTATTTAAGATGAAAGATTCTTTTTAAATGGATTTAAAAGAATCCCATTCCTCAGATGCTTCTAGATGTCAACTCCAGGCTGTCCACCTTTTCCTGTACTTTTCTTATAAACCAGAGGGTTTTAAAGTGGTGGCCTCTGGCCCTAGCTGGTTTGGCTCCCTGCTAGAATGCCTGTGGACTGAAGGGTCTCGGGTTCGATTCCAGTCAAGGACACATGCCCAGGTTTTCGGTTCAATCCCCAATAGGGGGCATGCAGGAGGCAGCTGATCAATGATTCTTTCTCATCATTGATGTTTCTACCTCTTTCTCCCTCTCCCTTCCTCTCTGAAATCAATACAAATAAAAAATGATAAAGTGGTGGCCTCTGATGGTCACTGGTAAGAAGAGATGAAACAAGCTAATCACCTCCCAGCTCACACCCATGGGGGTGACAGGTTGGAGGACAAACAGTCCTGCTCACTCCCTGCCACATTGGCTGCTCCCAATGGTCTAAGAAAGGCTGTCTTGTATTCTGTGTTGACTTCAGATGCAGGCCACATGGCTAATTAGGGCCAGGTGTGGACTAGAACTCGCTATTTTCAAATGCATTGAAAACCCCAAACCACTTTTCAGAAAAAGTGATTCTGCATGCACATCCCATGATTGTTGTACCGTGACTATAAATCTGGTGACTGCAAACAACCCATATTCATTCCCTGACAGTTCTGGGGTCAGAAGTCAGAAGCAAGTTTCATGGGGCTAAAATCAAGGTATTGGCAGGGATGCTCCTTCTGGAGACTTCAGGGAAGAACTGATTTCTTGGAGTTTTTTCAGCTTTCCACTACTCAAGGCCCCTTCCTTGAATCACTTAAGCTTCTGCCTCCATTGCTCTGTCATTCAGTCTTCATCTCTCTCCCTCTTATAAGGACCCTTGTGATGTCACTGGGCCCCCTGAGGATTTTCAGGACTATCCCCATCTCAGGGTCCTTAACTTAATCCACCTGCAAAGTCCCTTTGCCATGGAAGGGAGTGTAGTCATAGTCTACATTAGGATGTAGATGTGTTGGGGTGTTGGTGGTGTATTATCCTGCTGACCATAATCTCTAAACCACCAAACTTCCGCAATGATGCTACCGTCTTCACATTCCCACCTGATTGTATCAGGGTTCCAATTTCTCCACATCTTTGCCAACACTTATCTTTGTCTGTTTTCCTGTTCTAGCTATCCTAGTGAGAGGTATCTCACTGTGGTTTTGATTTGCATTTCCACGCTGGCTAACATGTTCAGCCTCCTTTTACCTGCTTGTTGACCTTTTGTGTATATTCAAGTCCTTTTAAAAAAAATTTTTTTTATTGACTTTTTACAGAGAGGAAGGGAGGGGGATAGAGAGTTAGAAACATCAATGAGAGAGAAACATCGATCAGCTGCCTCCTGCACACCCCCTACTGAGGATGTGCCCATAACCAAGGTGCATGTCCTTGACTGGAATTGAACCTGGGACCCTTTAGTTTGCAGGCCGATGCTCTATCCTCTGAGCCAAACCAGGTAGGGCTCGGCCTACCTTTTTAATTGGGCTGTTTGTCTCTGTATTACTGAGTTGTCAGAGCCCTGCTTTTTGGTAACAAGCATGTCCCTCTTCCTGACTGTGCTGCGAACTCCCTCCCTGGGGCTCTCCCTTGTCCTTTGCCCTTCCCCCATGTCTCCAGTGAAGCAGAAGATTGGCCCAGGACTGGCATCCAAATTCCTTTTTTATTTTTAAAATATGTCCACATATGATTTTTATTTGCCCTCACTCAAAAAAATGTGTCAAGGGTTATGTAGTGTTGGGATTACAAACCATTTTAATTTTTTTTATTTTATATTTATGTACTAAAAAACTTCATTTCAAAAGGCACGAATAAGAGAGAAAAAAATCCTATGGAATTTACCATGGAGCTGAATCTGGATAACGGTGGTTGGAGCATCTCTTGCCAGTGTGCCTATGCAGAATACTCTACCTGCTGTCTCAGCATCTGCTTTTCCACCTCCTGAATGGAAAACTCATCTCTGTGTCATGAGTTTTGACAGGAGAGAGAGCTCGTGTGGGCAGGGCCCCGGGGCTGCCCCAGCTCTGCCTGGGACAAGCTGGTCTTGGGGAGGAGACTGTCACCTCCCACCAGTGGTGCCGGGTATTTGGGTGGATGGGTGGGAGGTGGCCTTTGCAAGAGGCTGTTGCCTTCCTTCCCTGTAGATGACTCAGGAGCCAGCCTCAGAAGAGAGGCAGCCAGCTGGCCAGGACTGGCCGAACTCAACATAAGAGCTGTTGGGTGTGGGTAGGTGTTGGCACCTGCCACTCACTAGGGTGGGAGAGAGGTGGGAGATTCTGGCTGTCTCAGAATCTGGCTGGTCATCTGGCCCTACCACCTACTTGCCAAGTGGCTTAGGCATGTGACCTCCCTTCGTGGGGTCCTTTGTCCTCAGTGAACTATGAAAAATGGGTTCATTGTGTAGTGTGGACGAATCACCCGTGTGAAATGCATAGAACAGGGCTGGGGGTTCGTGATTTGTTCACTGCCTCCAGATCTGGGCACCAATGGCCATGGCAGACTGAGGAACCAGCTTCTGGACTTTTGCCTGGCCATTGAGGGCTTTGTACCAGAGGCTGAGGCTGGTCAATCATGTTCTGGCAGCAGGCCTCAGAGGACAGATTAGATGGTCCATGTGGTATAGGTGGAGGCCCTGATCTCCCCAGTGTGTGTGGAAAATCTTGAGGGATGTTGAAGTGGGATGGACAGGAATGGGTGGCTAGGATGGTGGGAACATGAGGAAGGCCAGCTAGCTCTCCTGTTTCAGTGTCTCATTCAAGGTCCTCGCCCATGGAGCCCTCTCCCGCCCTTCCTTGTTCTCCCTCCATAGCCATTAGCACAGCTCAGGTCTACACCAATGTTCACAATAGTATTGGGGTCAGGGTCTGCTTCCCCAGGACAGACATGCTGTCCTGTCTGCCGCTGTGCAGTGAAGGCACACAGTGAGCCCTCTGTGGCTGCATCTGGGCTGGAGGGGAGAGGGCAGGTAATTGGGGGCTCAGGTGGGGTGGATGGGGGTCCCAGGATTCAGGTCCTGGGCCATGTCTGCAGGCAAGGGGCCGTCTGACATGGCATGGTGGTCAGTCTTAAAGACTGGTCAGGGCTCGCGTGAGGCAGCCTGGCTGAAGCTGGGAGTTTCTGGTTTCTGCTGCTCCCTAGGAGGGATTGTGACAAATCCTTTTCCTTTTATAAACCATGTGTTCTTGGTGGTTCTGTGTGATCCCGCCCAGAGCTGTTGTGAGATGTCACAAGCCCGTGATCTGCCATGCACACTTCAGCTTTGTGGCTGTCCCTTGAGAAAACTTGAGACTTGTGGACACATGACCAAGGTCATGGTAGGTCCCAGTCTGGATGTATCAATGAAGCAGTGACATCTCCCCTTCACCCCCACCCTTATGTCAGGATCTTCCGGGGCCCTAGCCAGCAATCCAGTGAGAGTCTGGCCTTCAGAGGGGGGCTTTAGCTGCTGTCCACCTAGCCCCAGCCTCATGTGTCCCAGGTATGGGATGGGGTGTTAGAGGCAAGGCCAGACAGGGTACCTGTGAGCCTGGGGCCTCTAGATCCCTTCCAGGGGAAAAGGACCGCCTCAGTGGCAAATCCTGGGTTTGTGCTGCCCTCTAGTGCCTCCGCAGGCATCACCTTTTGGAAGCTTTTGGCCGAATCTTGTCACCCCTCTCCCCTTCCCACCCCTTTCTGGGACCATTTAGGCTTCTTGGGTTTCTCATTTTCCAGCTCACTTTGGGGTGGGGTGAAGTGAACTTGGTTAAATTATTCTCCAAGTTCTCAGGTCTGTATGCACTTGGATTCTGAGTTTTTCCAAATCCTGGTGGGAGTCTAATCTTTTGAAACTGGAAAATTTAGTTGGCTAACAGGGACCCTTCCCAGAATCTGTCACCGAGCCTTTTCCTGCTCAGGGTGGGCCACCGACAACCACACGGGGTCCTCTTAACTCCAGAGACAGGAGGGGCCATTCCAATGTGCACCCTTCTCCTGAGAGGAGCTCTGGTTCCCAGTTATCTTCGGGCGCCTTCCCTGAATCTTAGGTTGCATGACATAGCACGGTCTCCCCTTCTGTGCCAAAATATCCAGGCATGGTCATGACTGAGGGTTCCTTGGAGCATCCAATTGCAGGCAAGGAGCCATTCTGGCCGGCCTACCCTCTGGTTCCAGATTCTGGACTTGGGCTTTCCATGCGTCCCTGGGCCTGGGTTCACTGACAGCAGCCAGGCTAGTCCTTGAGCGACCCACATATGCTCGGGTGGGCCTGCCTGGAGTTGTGGTTCTCCCTGCTTGCAGGCTGGTACCTCAAAAGAAGGCAGGCTGACACACAACCTCACTTACCTTGCAGAACCTGTCACGTGATCCTATGTCTCTGCATGTCCAGCTCCAAAGATTTGAGTCCCTGAAACGAAAAGCTTTTATTTCCTAGGGCCCCCAGCTTTAAATTAATGCTCTGGCTTCCAGTATCACATTGGCTTTTAGAACTAGGACACCTCTGTTTTTAATTAGTTGAAGTCATTTTGGTCTTTTGTGCCAGAGCAGAGCAAGGCAGTCTCCTCTCTGCTCGCGTTGCTTCCTGGGGCCCCGGTGCTTTTTAGTGTGATGTATGGAGCAGGGCACCGCTGGTGGCAGCGCCGTCTGCTCATGCTTTCTTCTTCCCTCGCAGGTGTGGCGGTATCGCAGCTGCAACCATGGGGTCTGAGGATCATGGGGCCCAGAACCCCAGTTGTAAAATCATGACATTTCGCCCAACTATGGAAGAATTTAAGGACTTCAACAAATACGTGGCCTACATTGAGTCCCAGGGAGCCCACCGGGCAGGCCTGGCCAAGGTGGGTGATAGACATCCTGGTCTCCTGCAGCTTCTCTGAGTGTGTTCGTGTCCAAGGTGTTGCACCCATTACCCTGTTCACTGATCCATCTGACATCATTTATTACAAACAGGATGGAATTCTTTCCTCATGCCAGGCACTGTTCTAAGCACTGGAATTCCTAATAGATCACACCACCCCTGTCCCTGCATGGGTTGGCAGGGTGGGGCAGAGACAGCACTGTGCTGAGCCCAGCCCAGCGGGCAGTGGCCACCCAGGGTATCATGGCAGCAAGTCTCACCCCACTGGGGAGAAGGAGGTACAGAGTCTGGGGATGCTTCTGGGCAGTTGATGCCAGGAAGGCCTGAGTTTTTGCCTTTATATTCTTAGTGAAACAATGTGTGTTTTTATTGTTGTGGTTGCTTTTTTGGAAATAGTATGCACATGGGAGGCAAATTCAAACAGTGCAAGAGGGCAGAGAGTGACTGAGTCTCCTCTTCCTCCCATCTCCCAGTTTCTATCCCTGGAGGCAACATAGTTACCATCCTGCCTCCTTCTTTGGCATCTTATACATATAGGTGTGCATGTGTGAGGGCAGACAGACACACAAACTCATCCTTTGTCTCTCTCTCTCTCTCTCTCTCTCTCTCTTTTTTTTTTTTTTTTTTTTTTTTTTTTTTTTTTTGGTGTGTGTGTGTGTGAATCTTCACCCGAGGATATTTTTGCCATTGATTGTTTTTAGGAGAGAGTGGAAAGGAGGAAGGATTGCGAGAGGACTGAGAGAGAAAGGAGAGAGAGAGAGAGAGAGAGAGAGAGAGAGAGAGAGAGAGAGAGAGAAAGGGAGGGAAGAAGGGAGGGAAGGAAGAAGGGAGGGAGGGAGAGAAACATCGATGTGAGAGACACATCGTTTGGTTATTTCTCATATGGGCTTCATCTAGCGCTGGGGATAGAATCTGCAACCCCAGGTACATGGCCATGACCAGGAATTGAACCCATGGCCCTTGGGCGCTCAAATCAACATTCTAACCACTGAGCACACTGGCCAGGTCCTATGTCCCTTTTTAATATAAATGGCTGTTTCTTTCGTTCTTTCTTTTTTTTAAGTCCTTATTGGAGACTATGGTTTTTTGTTTTTGTTTTTTGTTTTAAATGTATTTTATTGATTTTTTTTTTTACAGAGAGGGAGAGAGAGCTAGAAACATCAATGAGAAACATCAATCAGCTGCCTCCTGCACCGCCCCCCAGGGGATGTGCCCGCAACCAAGGTACATGCCCTTTATCGGAATCGAACTCAGGACCCTTGAGTCCTCAGGCCAACGCTCCATCCACTGAGCCAAACCGGTTAGGGCTAAAAAAGAAATGTTTTTATTGATTGCAGAGAAGAAGGGGGAGGGAGAGAGAAACATCAGTGATGAGAATCAATGATTGGCTGCCTCTTGCACGCCCCCTACTGGGGAACGAACTAACAACCCTGGCATGTGCCCTGACCGGGAATCGAACTGTGATCTCCTGGGTCAGAGGTTGATCCTTAAGCACTGAGCCACACCGCTGAGCAACTGTCTATCCATCTTGACAGCCACCTCTGAACGATTCCAAGTGGCCACTTCACCCAGGAGTCCGGGGGTCACACACAGGCCACCGGGCCAGGCGCCCACGCTCAGCAGGCAGCCAGGAAGCCAGGTCCCGGGGCCCATCCCAACCTCAAAGGGACGCCTGGTTCCCATGTACAGCCCCGGGCTGGTGGCCAGCGGGCTGGCGCGAAGGGCCTGGTGGTCACAGGTGGCAGGCCACCTCCCAGACCATCTGCAGGGCCATGGAGGCGTAGGGCAGCTGGGCCAGCGTGTAGGCCAGGGAGCGATGGGCGCATGCAACTTGCCCAGGTAGGCCACCGTGTGCACTACGCGGCCCAGGAAGACGAGCAGGAAGTGCAGCCGCGCCACGACGGGGTTGGGCTGCAGAAAGGAGTAGACCAGGCCCAGGAACAAGAACAGATAGATGGTCTCCATGTAGTTGTGGTGGGTTCTGAGGCAGCGATCCACGTCGTGGTCATCCCGGCAGTACTGGGGGCCTCCGTGCCGCAGGGCGTCCTCGGGGTTCTCAAAAGCCTTCTTCTGCAGTGCACTTGGCTGGTGATGACAGCCACCGCGTACATCTTGATGACCAGCAGAGCACTGCAGAGCAGGAAGTCAGGGAGCACCTGGCCGCTCAGCGCGAGGGCTGGGGTGGGCATTGCAGCGGTGGCAGCAGCAGCGGGCACTGGGCTCTTGGAGAGTATGTTTTTATTGATTTTAGAGAGAGTAGAAGGGGAAGGGAGAGAGAGAGAAACGCAGTGTAAGAGAAAAACATCGATCGATTGTTTCCTTATGCGCCTAGACCTGGGATCAAACTGGCAACAGATATGTGCTCTGACTGGGAATGGAACCAGCTGTCTTTTGGTGAATGGGATGGCACTCCAACCAACTGAGCCCTCTGGCCAGGGCATGGCTGTGTTTTTCATGTTCATGTGAACCTGTGTGTGGTATTACTCTCCCAGTGATTGGGAAGATTTGTAACATGTTTGCTTAGGGTTCTTCTAGTTGCTTCCTGGATGAGTATCACTTTAAGATTTCTAGTTGTATATTCTTTAAATCAAGAGGTTGGTAAATGTTTTTTACAAAGAGCCAGATAGTATTTTCAGCTTTGCCAGCTGAGTAGGCTCTGTCTCCCACCACTTAGTTCTGTTGCCTTAGATAAACCATTCGTGCTGTGCATGAATAAAACTTTACTTATGGGCACTGAAATGTGAATTTCACAGAACTTTTAAAAAATATATATTTTATTGACTTTTTACAGAGAGGAAGGGAGAGAGAGAATTAGAAACATCGATGAGAGAGAAACATCGATCAGCTGCCTCCTACATACCCCTACTGGTATATGCCCTTGGTATATGCCCTTGACTGGAATCGAACCTGGGACCCTTCAGTCTGCAGGCTGATGCTCTATCCACTGAGTCAAACCGGTTTTGGCCACAGAATTTTTATTTGTCCTGAATTATTCTTTTAAAAAAATAATTTCCCAACCATCTAAGAAAGAAAGAAAGAAAAAAACAAAACAAAAAAAAACACCAAAGAAAGCAACACATTCTTAGCTTGTAGGCTGTACAAAAGCAGACAGCTGGTGAGATTTGTACCACAGGCTGTGGTTCACTACCTCCTCCTCCCCACCCCTGTTTTTGGTTAGTTTTGTTACTAATATCAGTTCTGATCCTGGTGACACTCATACCTTCAACCTCAGCCTCAGGAGAAAGGAGAGCAGTAAGCCTGTAGCACCTTTCCCTCCCCTCCTCGCCCCTCCCCTCAGGATTTTTGGTCATATTATACCTGATAATGTAGACAATACAGAACACTTTTATCTGGTTTGGGAACCAAGGCTGCCACTGCCATTTAACTTCAGTTCTCCCTTTAAATGGCTTCAGTGCTCACCGTCTGTGTCTTACTCGCCTGCAGTTTGTCATCTCATGAGAGAAGGGCTCTGGACACCCAGTGCCTAAGGTTCTAGCAAGTTCAGAAGTGTTCATTTGGGGCTTTTCTGTCCCCCACCAATCCACAGTCCGATGTCCATTGTCAGGTGAAACTTTCCTGCCACCCCTTCTGTTGCAGGCTCCCAGTGGTGGGAAGATTCTGAGGCCAATGGAGTCCTGGTGCCTGTGAGGGGTGGGGCATGGGGTCCCTTCCTTTATCTGCTGTCGCTGATCTTGTTCCACTTCTAGTTCAGCCAGCCCATCTATCTGCCTTTGGATTCACACCATCTTTTATGTCAGGAAACTTTTACTATTCTGTTGGAGGTACCTTTAAATCCCACCCGACACTCTTTTGCTATCCTTTCACCTCCGTCATTTCTGTCACCCTTCCTTCACCTCTGTGTGATCCACTCCATTACCTTCTCTCTCCCTCCTTCATCGCCTTCACTGTCTCAGTGCTTCCCCTTTGAACCCAGATGCCTCTGTTTAGACTTTTAATTCCAGTGGACTGATTTTTTGCTAATTTATTTGAATGGGGATCCTTGGCTCTCAGGCTGCTGGTCTCTTTGGAGAAGGGACACGATGTCCTGCTGGCCTGACATGGATGTTTCCCTACCCTGGCCTCATCAGCCTTGAGTGCTCTTCTCTGTGTGTGTATGCATGTGTGTGGACATATGTGCATATGTGTATGGCACTTGGTTGTAGTGGTTTCCTTCTTTCATAAAAGCTGTAATTGTTCCCCCCTCAAAAGCTCTGTGAGGCTCAGTAGAGCTGGGTGGGAGTGGGTGTTCAGCAGGCACAGGTAGAGTCAGGGCCACAGCTATTATCGGCTGTGGGTGTGCGGGAACCCCACTCTGGGACCATCAGGCAGCCCAGTCATATTCCTCAGCCACTCTGCACATACTCTGAGGGCCGCGCCCAGTGGGTCCCTGCCCCCCACAGATCGGGGCTGGAACCTCCCTAGTCTGCTTGGGAAGCTCGGGGACAGGTGGAGCCAGGGAAGGGTGGTGGAGCAGTGGGACAATGTAGGGTCCTATGGGAGGGGTCAGGGTGCTCTGGTGCCCAGTTGTGAGGACAGTCGTGAAGGTAGTAATGCCCTGGTTGCTCTTAGCTGGCAGGCCTGCCCAATGAAGAGTGGTTTTGGGACCAGGTAGTTGTTGTTTTCTTTTTTTGGGGGGGGGGTTGCAAAGGCTTCCCCCTCATTCCTACCCTCTTGTAGCGTTTCCTACACTACTACCCAACTGTGCAGACTCCTAGCTTTGCCATACAAGTCACATCTAGGCCATTTGCCCAGTGTCCCCCTCATTCACTTGAGGTGTGTGGCCTTACTTTGGCTGAACTTGCTCTCCAGGAGCTTTGAGCAAGGGTCAGTCCAGGGCTAAACCAGTCAGGTGCACCAGGTGCCGAGTAGGGACAGTCAGAATGCTGGAAGTTCTGCCAAAACCGGTTTGGCTCAGTGGATAGGGCGTTGGCCTGCGGACTGAAAGGTCCCGGATTCGATTCCGGTCAGGGGCACATACCTTGGTTGCAGGCACATCTCCAGTGGGGGGTGTGCAAGAGGCAGCTGGTCGATGTATCTCTCTCATCAACGTTTCTAACTCTCTATCCCTCTCAATTCCTCTCTGTGTAAAATCAATAAAATATATTAAAAAAAAAAAAAGAATGCTGGAAGTTCTTTAGGTGATAGTTTTCAGATGCCCTTTGCCTGGGATCTCCTTTTATTTTTAAAAATATATTTTTATTGATTTCAGAGAGGAAGGGATGTGTGTGTGTGTGTGTGTGTGTATGTATGTATATATATATATATATATATATATATATATATATATATATATATATACACACACATCAGTGATGAGAGATTGGCTGCCTCCTGCATGCCCCCTACTGGGGATTGAGCCCACAGCACAGGCATGTGCTCTTGACCAAAATCGAACCTAGGACCCTTTAATCCACAGGCTGACACACTATCCACTGAGCCAAACCAGCCAGGGCGGGATCCTCCTTTTAAATCTGATTTTGCAGAGGTGTGAGGGTGTTAGGCCACAATACATTACTAAGGGATTTTTCCAGAAGCTTTGGGTTCCTGACCAACTGGAAGTGGCCCTCCTTTTAAGCAGTTTTTCAAAACCTGCTTAGAATGTGTCCAGGAAGGAGTGGTTCACACGTATGCAAACTAGGCATCGCATGTGTGTGTATGTGTGTGTGTGTGTGTGTGTGTGTGTGTGTGTGTGTATGTATGCGGGTCCCTCCTGGTTTTCAGATGTCTTCACTCTACGGTGTGTTAGGGATGGCATAGCCTCAGGCTCTTGTTTGAAAGTGGGAAATTCAGGAGTGACTTACTTTGTTCATTTTGCCCCAGGCTGGGATTAGGGATGGGCTTCTAATAGAACTGAAGTGGGTCCAGAGCCTGTGCAGAGTCATGGCACTTTCCTGAAATAAGTTGGGTTTTCTGTCAAAAGGAGACATCAGTAACATAATTAAAAAGCAGCTTAGGGTCATGGATTTTTCCTATAGAAGAATGTCTTGGATCCTGGGGGCATAGCACCTTTTATCTATTTCTTTTTTGTTTTTCCAGCCTTGAATGTTTTAGTTTAGCACCTGAAGCTTCAGATTTCTCACTAGAAATCTAAGAAAACCTTCTGCTGGCAGGCTGACCCAAGCCAGTACCCTGTTGTCACATGGCCTTGCACCAGAAACAGGCGGGTATTCTAGGTGTCTGTTGCGTCCAGGCCACAGTTGACAGAGTGAGAGAAGACATCCCAGAAAGAGCCTTCACTGAAAAGTTGTGTCCTTGTCCTCATTTAACTTATCAGGGTCCCAGCCTTGGCACTGCTGCTATCCAGGTCGGGTATCTGTGGAGGGCCAACCTGGCCACTGCAGGGGTGTTGAGCAGCACCCTTCCTCCACCTTCTCGATGCCAGGGGTACCCACAATCATGACAACCTCAGTTGTCCCTAGACATCATTCAGTGTCCCCTCGGGGCAGGGTTGCCCCAAGTGACACCCACCGACTTCCTCTGTTGTTATTTATTTGTTTATAAATAAACTTGTATGTGCTGATAAGGGATGCAGCACCTTTCTGTTATTAACTGGCAACTGGAGAATAAGTGTTTTTGTTGCCAAGCAAAACATTTTCTTTCACCCATGTCATAGATGGGATAGTGGAGTCCTTGGGTGTGGTAAACTTCATCCCTTTTGGAAGCTGTCAGCAAACTTGGGCATCAGCGGGTATTCTTCCCTCATTGGCCCCGAGCATGGTGTGGGTTCAGCCTCTTTAGAGTTCATGGCTGATGCTCTGAAAACAGGTTGGGTTAGCCCCGCCAGTATGGCTCAGTGGTTGAGTGTTAACCTCTGAACCAGGAGGTCACCATTCGATTCCCAGTCAGAGCATATGCCTGGGTTTTGGGCTTGATCACCGTTGTGAGGCTTGCAGGAGGCATTGGATCAATGATTCTCTTTCATCATTGTTTCTATCTCTTTCCCCTTCTCCCTTCCTCTCTGAAATCAATAAAAATATTTAAAAAACAACAAAATAGGTTAGATTAGTTCCTTTTCCCAAAGCTGTTAGGTGGTCTGCTGGGCACTCTGAAAGGGGGCTTGAGGCTTGCAAACAGCCACCGGGGACTGGAGAGACTAGTCTGGCTCTGTGGGGCCCAGAAGGGTGCCTAATGCTCAGGAGGCCTTTGGTCCAGCCCAGAGGTCGCCCCTGACCAGGAAGGTGAAGGGGCCAAGAGTGGATTTCTGAGCCCAAGCAAGCCCAGCACAGTGCCCTGACACTAAACCCTTTGTGCTGATCCTTAGTGTCCTCTTGTGGAGAAAGGCAGGGAGGGCGGGGCAGGAGATCTGCCATCAGCTCAGTCAGGCCTGGTGGTCTATTGGATTTGCTCCCATGAAATAGCTGTGCCTTTTCTCAAAGGCAACCTTCTGATAATTCCCACTTAGCATTGTCACCATCTCTTCTGCCCTTCTTTATTTTATATCCTTAGTACTTACAACTGGTCACCTTCCCAGTTTCCTTATCTCTGTGGGTAGGCCCTATGAAACCTGGCTCTGAGATGGAGCCACATCTTAAAGGTATTTTTATCTTCTGCCCTCTTCCATGGAATGTAAGTCCCTCATGAGTCTTTGTTTTCCCATGTTTCCCCTCCCCAGCATCGTAATTACTCCCTAGAAGGTGTTAATGAAGGGGATTCCTAGAACATGTGTCTGGCACAGCCTTGCTCTTTTCCAAAGCTAGAGGGCGAAATGGCCCTGCCCCCCAGTGATAAAGGTTTTAAAAGGACTTCAAATGCAGCTGGTGGTGCCCATGTTTCTGGCACCAGATTATTTGGGTGCTTGATAAAGGTACAGATGGTTCCTGGTGCCCTTGTGGGGCAGTCCCAGGTGTGCTTCCCAGGTAGTGGCTGCTGGTCTCCCAGGAGTGGGCAGTGGGTTTCTGTCAAAAGCCTGTGCCCATTGTCTCTGATCGTTCCCCTGTCCTGAGTGGAAGTGCCTGTCTAGAGGCACCACTGATTTCTCCTTGGTCTCACAGATCATCCCCCCGAAGGAGTGGAAGCCACGGCAGACGTATGATGACATCGATGACGTGGTCATCCCAGCCCCCATCCAGCAGGTGGTGACGGGCCAGTCAGGCCTCTTCACACAGTACAACATCCAGAAGAAGGCTATGACGGTCGGGGAGTACCGCCGCCTGGCCAACAGCGAGAAGTATGTAGCCGGGACCCTGGCAGGTGTAGTAGGGTGGAACCCTGAAACCCTATCTCCGAGGTGGAGCCACATCTTAAAGGCCTCCACCCCCCTGGTCTGCAAAGCCCAGTCCAACCGGAGCTTTGGGGGTACAGAGATTGTAGGGCACATGTAGCCCCCTGCAAAGTGCATGCCATCAGCACTGGGTACCCTGGGTGGATCTCAACACCTCGGGCTCAGAGACCCCCCGCTATTCAAAGAGGGCGAAATCCAGATCCTCACCAACCCATGGCCACTTGTCCACCTCACCCTACCTTCAACACCCACTACTAAGGACTGCCCCTTGGGGTTCAACCTATCCCCTGTCCCTGGAGTGAATCCCCTATACCCTCCCATAATGTCTCAGTTCTGATGGTGCTTCCTCAGAGAGGGGCTCTGTAATATGCATTCCTGCATGCTGCTTCCTTCAACATGGTGCACACATGGGCAACACTCATGTACATTCTGTGTGCTCACGGGTGCACTCGTGGGCATTCCCAGTGCATACACGGTGCACTCACGAGCATACCACCGCTGTTTTCTCCTTCCTGTTCTCTGTTATTCCCAGTTTCCTGGTTTTCTAAAATTGTTTGTGCATTTCCAGCAGTACCTTTGCTCTCCAACGTAAGTGTACCTTGAAGGTAGGGTGTAGTCTGCCTACTCACGCAATGGCCCTGGTGTCCAGGACAGTGCCTAGCCCATAATCAGTGTTCTTAGTATGTGCTGAGCAGTGGGATGATAACAGCCAGAGCCCCTGCCCATCCACCTGCTCCAACTTCCAGTGGTGTGTATTGTGACTTATATACCACAGGCCCAGCTAGCTGATGAGATGGGATAAGTGGGCATTATTCCAGGTAGGGCCACTTGCCCATCCTATACACACCCCCTGGAATAGATGCTGTCCCAGCAACAATGGGACCACATTTGTGTTTTCTGGGGCTGTGCCCTGTGGTGGGGACAGGGCAGAGCCTCTCCCTCGGTGTATCTGGCAGATGCCCTGGGCCTGGTTCAGCTGTGAGACCAGACACATGCTCTGAGACCCCCTTTTCGGTGTGCTATTTGCTCACAGATACTGCACTCCCCGGCACCAGGACTTTGACGACCTGGAACGCAAGTACTGGAAGAACCTCACCTTCGTCTCTCCCATTTATGGCGCCGACATCAGCGGCTCCTTGTACGATGATGTAAGTTCTGGAGACCAAGAGGTTCTTGGGAAAATGAGGAACTCAGTTTCCATGGTGGAGGTGAAGGAATGTAAATGTAAATGGAATTGAAAATGGAAGTTAAAAGGACACAAGCTTAGTCGGGCTTTTTGTTTGGGCTCTAGTTACAACTACATGCCTAGTCTTAGCATGAATGAAGAAGGGATCCTAGGGTTTTCTGACTTGCAAAATCTTTTCTACTGAGTTATAGAGTTCTGATGGCTCTGATCTTATCCCCTCAGAATCCTGGCAGCCCCAGGTTCTCGGCTGGCCAAGCTGCCATGGGTTCACTTATTTCTGGTCCTTTTGCTGGGCTGGGGGTGCTTTGGGAACACCCAGGTAGCAGAGAGGGACCTGACCTTGGCCTGTCCAAGGACTTAGACCAGATGCTGGTGACTGTGACCAGCGGCCCAGAGAGGTGCTGGTGTTAAGCAGAGGGAGGTTGAGTGAGACCCTTAGTTTTTAGGGGATAGTTTATTAATATTTATGGGACCTCAGACAACCCTGAGGTTCATTTCAGAGTTACTGATGTGCTCTCTCCTGGGGGTGTTCTGTATGGGGTACCCTGGGCTAAACTATGGCCTTTTCCATGCCCCGGGTGGTCTTCTTGGGCCCCATTTGTGCCCTTCTATGTTGTCACTCTGAAGGTCATGTCTTACTAGGATAGTCTCTTTCATTCACTCAGCCCATGTTCACCATGAGAGTGAACTGAGTTCACTTGAGTTTTTGTCTTGGGTGGGATTGGAGTTAGGTGGGAATAGCACCTGGGAAGAGTGGGGACCCTCCTGGATGCTCAGAGAGGAGCCCTGTTAGGACAGGTGGGGCTTGTGACTCCTAAAAGGTATTAGAAAAATCAGGACTACTGCATGGGTCCCCACATGAATTGTTGGCCAGCATTTCTTTTTGCCCAGAGTGATTGCGCCATATTGCATTCTACCAGCAATAAGTGAGAGTTCCTATTGCTCCACATCCTCGTCAGCATTTAGTGGTGTCCGTGTTCCGAATTTTGGCCATTCTGATAGGTGTGTAGTGGTAGCTCATTGTGGTTTTAATTTGCATTTCCCTGGGGCCATGATGTGGAGCATCTTTTCATGTGCTTATTTGTCATCAGTGTATCTTACTTGGTGAGGTTCAGGTCTTTGACTCATTTTTAAAGTGGATTGTTTATTCTCTTATTATTGAGTTTCAAGATTTCTTTTGCAAATATTTTCTACTAGTTTGGGGCTTGTCTTCTCATTCTCTTTAAGACTGCATTGTTTTCAAATAGAAATTCAAAAGTTAAAAAAAAATTAAAGCCTTGTCCAGGGAGAACACCTGGGTTTGCTCTTGTGTGCTGCCTGTAATTGGTCGTAGTGATGGACCCGTGAAGACCTGCTGCCCAGTGAGGCTTGGCGGGGCCAGTGCTGAGATCGTAAGCAACGCCTGCCATAGTTTCCTGAAGAGGTTTTGGGGCCATGTGTTTCCTGTGCCTGATCTAGTGCAACAATCTCCTTTACAGATGTGGAAACTTAGGCTCAAGCAGAGAAATGACTTCCCCTGGCCACACAATGAGTTATTGCCTGGCTTAGACTAGATCCCCGGTCCCCCGCCTGTGGCCGCATTGTGGATGTGTGAGCTGAATAGTGAGGTGAATTGGACAGGCTTTAGAGAGGTGACCTCTTTTTGATGTGCCCCGACCTTGGGAAGCTTCTGTTCAAGGCGACTTGGGTTTTTCTTTCTTATACTGAGGAGTCTGGTCACTGTCTCCTCCCCACAACCCATGTTCTGGGCTTCTGCCAGGACTAACCTTACAAAGATCAGCCACTGGTCTTGCCAAATCAAGGGCCTGAATGTGGACCAGAGTAGGTGGTACAAGGTGGACTAGGGCAGAAAGATGGCTGATGTGCACTCACATCTCAACAGGCTTGAAGGGTTCTCTAGGGAAAGGAAGTTGATTAAAGCATATTTTGTGAGCTCTTATGGATAGGACGTAGATTGCTTGCTTGTGGCATTAGGAATAAATGGGACTGGTAGGTGAGGATTCTAGCCTTGCTTGCTTGGTTCAGAGAACCATCTCCATCTCCTCCATGCGGAGGTTCCAGAAGGGCTGTCTGGCACCTTCGCTGGTCTAGCCCACCCAGCAGTTGTCTTCCTCCTTCTGTGTCATTGACTTTGAGGTACACTAGTTACTCATGACCAAACTGAGGTCTTTACTGCTGAGATTAATACACAACTCAACGTGGAGTCTAGAGAAAGCTCTGCCCAACTGCATGGCACAGGGCAGTCAGTCGGCATCTGCAGGGTATGAGCAGCCAGGATGCGTTTGGACACGGGGTGGGTGAAGCTCTGAAGTGGGCAGGTTTGGAGCTGACAACAAGGCTCCTGGGCCCTCATGGGGGCCACATGGCAGCAGGCAGCTCAGAGGGAAGGACACTTCCTGTCCTCCCACTAATGTCGGGGGCTGGTGGGGCCAGGGTGCCCCAAGGATGGCCGGCCCACTGACTGTGCCTGCTGTCTCACAGGATGTGGCCCAGTGGAACATCGGGAACCTTCGGACCATCCTGGACATGGTGGAACGTGAGTGTGGCACCATCATCGAAGGTGTCAACACTCCCTACCTGTACTTTGGCATGTGGAAGACCACCTTCGCCTGGCACACAGAGGACATGGACCTGTACAGCATCAACTACCTGCACTTTGGGGAGCCCAAGTCATGGTGAGTGTCCAGCCAGCGGCCTGACTTGCTTCACAGGGTGGAGGGTCTCCACTGCCAGCAGGGCAAAGGGCGGGGAGGGCAGGCGGATGGGCTCCTCTGGGTCAGGCAGGCATGGGTGCCTTCTGGGAGGCTCCCTGTGGCCAGGGCTATCAGGCAGGGTGGGCCAGGGTAGGAGCTCTGGTAGCTCAAGATCTGCTGGCTCTGTCCCCACTGGCTTCAGGGCAGCCTCAATTTACACCAGTTTGGGGATGAGGTATATGTGCCCCTCAGAAATGAGCTTCCTGGTTTGTGGAGTTTGGGGTTTGGGCCTAGAGAGCTTCCCACTGAGCAGTGGCTGGTCTAGGCTCCCTCAGCATTTCCCCAGGCTGAGTCAGGCACGTGGCTATTGTACTGGAGCACTCCTGGGGCCGCAGGCCTGGAGACAGGGTAGCCTTGAGCACTGAGCCTCCCTCACCTTCCTCTTGGCCTTTGGTGTGAGGGGTGAGGTTAGCAGTAGGCTCCTGCTGCCTGGGGTCCCCACTAGTTTGCAGGTGCTGAGCAGGGGTGGGAGAGCTGTCCCAAAGGCCAATCTGTGAGTGCTGGGCTCTGTAGGCTGGGGCATATGTCCAGTGTGCTCTGTGTTCTGGAATCTCTGAGCTAACACTCACATCACATCCAGCTTCTGCTGGCAGGCCGGGAGCAGCTGCCTTCTGTTTGTTCACTGCTGTTTCCAGCAGAGATTTCTGAGCTGAGGCTTTGCACCTCCCTGCCTCTGTTGTCACAATAATCAGCGAAGCTCAGAGGAGTGTCAGGGGAGGCCCGGGAGCAGATTGTGGCACTCAAGACCTCAGCCAAGCTAGTTGGGGGCAGTGAGGGACGGGGGCAGGGGGACACAGCACGGCTGGGGACACAGGCAGCAGACTCTGGCCAAGGCATCCCTCACCTTGACTGAGCCCATAGGCACCTCAACCCCTTTAAGTTGCTTGGTCCTCCTGGAGCACTTTGCTGAGGGGGGCAGGAACAAGAGTTCTGAGCAGAGGATTTAGGAGCCAGGAGGAGATTTTGGGGGGGAAACCAGGCCTCTCTCTTCTTCCTTTTGCTGTATGACCATGCTCTGCTCACCTCTTATGTGAACGAAGCTGTTTCCTCTCAGATAGGCAGAGAAAGATAGAAAAGCACTGGACACAGACATGGGAGCATGTGTATGAGTGTCCCAGGGCTATTGTAACTAATAACCACAAGCCTTAGTGTACGCACATTTATTCTGTCATGTTCTGGAGGTCAGGAGTCTCACAGGTGTGGGCTGGGCTTTTTTTTTTGGAGGCTCCATGGGAAAATCGGCCTTTTCCAGCTTCTATAGGAGCCATGTTCCTGGTTGGTGGCTTCTTCTATCTTCACAGCCAATAGTGCAACCTCTTCTACTTATGACTTTGACCCTCCTGCCTCCCTCCCCTTTCCCCTAGGGATATCCAGGGTCATCCCCATTCCAGGGTCTTTAATCTTTTGCCATAGGAGGTGCCATGTCCACAGTCCCGGGACCAGGACTGAGATGTCTTTGGTGCCATTATCCTGCCAGCCCTGGGCCTCTGGCCTTTGAACTGTGCTACTCTGCATGTGTAGGGGATCCTGTTACCGTTACAGGGCTTGTTCTCAGCCCACTTCTCTCCTTTGGTGGCGTGTGGTGGCTTTGCATTAGCCCTTGGTCATCGAAGCCTCCATGCTGGGCGGTATTTACCTTTTAGGGGTAAATTTGGAAGAGATTGGCAAGTTGGTGATGCCCTTTTCATAAGACCCAAATCTCATACCCATGAGCGTGATTCTGAGCAATTGGGCAGAAGTGTTTCCTGGCTAGTGACATTGTCCCAATGCTGTCCAGGAGGTCCCAGTGTCCATGCAGCCACCCTGTCCCCTCCTCTCTCCATGGCAAGGCTAGGCTGTGACTCCACAGAGGCCCCCGCCTAGACCTGGTGGAGAGGGGGCCATGTTCTGTCCCAAATCCACACCTGCAGGCAGGAGGGCAGGGCCTGGGAGTGCAGCTTGTGGTGAGTGAACCTGCCCTCCCCTGGGGGCTCTGCCTGCCGCCTCCTGGCAGTCAGCATGCTGTCTGTGAGCCGTGTAGGTTGAGGGCCCACCAGCAGCCTTCTGACTTCCTGTGCAGATCCACAGGCTGCGTCATATGTTTGTGTGTGAGTGTGAGAGTACTTCTGAGTGTGTATATGTGTGCTTATGTGTGTGTGTATGTATATGGGAGTGTTAGTGTGTATATGTATGTTTATGTGTGTTTCTATAGTTGAAGTGTTTTTGTGTATGTATGCTTATGTGAGTGTGGTGTGTGTGTGTGCGTGCTCTGGGCCTACTGGATGGCCTGGATGATATTTCATGATGTTGGCCAGTGACTTGGCCACGTATCTGAGTGAATGTCCTCTGCATCCCAGTTCGGTTGGGTGTAGCTCCCCTCAGGGCCACTAGATGGCGCCCCTGCCCTTCCCCATCGACCATTATCTTCCAGCACTGAGGTGGAAATTTCCTAGGTTCTTTTTATTCTTTTTAGACTCCACCTTTTTAGAACCCACTGGGCAATGATCATCCCAGGGCCCCTTGGGAGCCACAGTAGGAGGAGAGCAAGGGCTCTGCTGGGCAGGGGGAGGGGTGGTAGGAACACTGCCTCTCTCATCTGCTCAGCTCTGCGAAGATGTCCCAATTTTAAGGGCATCTTGCTGGCAGAAGGACCTTAAGGAAAGAAAACCCACCTTTTCCAGAGAGAGAGAGAGAGAGAGAGAGAGAGAGAGAGAGAGAGAGAGAGGAAGGAAGGAGCATGCCAATGCTGAGTCCCAGCATGCGGTGACTAAGGGCAGGTTGAGCTCTCGTAGATGTGACTCTGGGGCAAAAGTGTGTTCTGGGGTCACGAGGCCCTGCAGCAAGCAGTGAGGATGCTGAGAAAAGCTGCTGGTCTCAGGGAGGTTGGCGCAGAAGTGGCGTCAGGGAGCCTGGCAGGGAGGCTGGCTGGTAGTGAGAGGGTGGGGGCACAGAAAAGTGGCTGGGATGTATGTAGTGGGAAAGTGGTGGGACTGGCTTGAGGGAGGTGAAGTGTGAGAAAATGCAGTAGGAAGTCCTCGAGAGCTGTCCATGGGAGGGGACCCAGGGAATGTGAGGGCACAGCTGCCCCCTCCCTGGGGATGCAGCAGGACAGACACCTGGCTCTACATGCTTGCCTCCTGTCACCAGCACTCAGTGCTCTCTGGCTACAGCCCTGAGGACGGCTCCTGCTGTCACATGCTGTACCCCTGGTTTGCTTGGGGTGGCCCTTGTGTCCACCCATCACCTTACCTACACCCTTCTCCACAACCCGATTCCCGAGTGCAATGGGGAAGCCATAAGCAGGGCTGTCATTGGACACAGCAGTGCATCTCTGACAGAAAGAATCTTCCAGAAGGCACTTTGACCTTGGTCTTGGTTTCTGGTCTAGAAGGGGTATGGGATTGCACTTGGGGATCTCTCACACAGATCGAGTCTGGCCAGTGGGAAGGGACTTCTCAAAGTGTGGCCATGTAGGATCCCAGCTCTCTGCTCCATGCCTGGTCAGCCCAGCCTGGTCATCGTGCTGGGCACCCTTCCAGCTCTCTCCCCTCAGGATCAGGGTGGGGATGTCTCCCCACCAGACCATGGACCTGGTGAGGGCAGGGCCCTCGGTCTTCCTTTTGTACCCAGCTCCTGGCAGGGGCCTGGCATAGAGAGGGGCTCAGTAGCTATCAGGAGACCTGGGTACTTGGACCACAGTAACCCTCAGCCTCTCAGAGCCCCAGTGCTTGAGGGGTTACTGTGGAGCCAGTACCATCCTGTGGGAGTCAGCCTCCTTGTCTTGCTCTGTCATGGGGCCAACATGGACACCAGCCTGGGGTGGGGGAGGTGAGGTGCCCTCTTGCCCCTGGGCTGGGGGCTCAGGGATCCACTTGACAACCCCCTGGGAAGGTGATGCCTTGCTCCCACCCCTCCCAGAGAGGAGACATTGTCTGGCAGATTGCACTCACACGTCTGTCTCCCTAATGTATGTACTGCTCTGCTTGCGTCTACAGTAGCTTAATTGCAACCATTTCAGATTATTTCCATAGCACTTTTTTTTAAAGTGTCGACGTCCTCAGGTTTATTGCATTTTATGAAGCCTTTCTGGGTGTGTTGCTACTTTGGTAGTGTGATTTGTGTGTCAAACTGACGTGAACAGCCTGGTGTCGATAAAAGCATGGAATTTGCTTTGAAAGGCTGGCAGTGCGTGGTGCTCTCAGGCAGCAAGGCTAAGAATATCTGAAGCGTCTGAGTGCTTCAGAATTCTTTTTGAGATGGGGATTTAAAATAGACCCGTTCTTACACTCGCACGAGGACCGTTCTTGCCACTGCTTGACCTTCCTGCCTCCCTGCTGCCCTGTCCATTATTGAGGCCAGGAGGGTGGGTGGGCATGGGCATCAGGAGGAGGCAGGGCTGGCCCTGCAGGACAGTGCCTGGGGGGTGGGCAGCCCAGTGTTCAGCAGTCGTGCCCTATAGAACCTGCTGTCCTAGGCCAGACACATTCCGTGAAGCCCATGGGTGGTGGTGGTGGTTTAGCCAGAAATTATATCCCCCACAGCTTGTCCCAGGGTAACTGTTCTGCTACCTGGTTCCGCCCCTGTGGGTCTCAGGCCTGGTCAGATACCTCGTCATTGGAAACCTCAGCTCCATGTGGGATACACCCACCACGTGCTGTTTCACACTGTTTCTACGATGTAGCACTAAATAGTGTTTCTAGCAGTATTGCCACCCGCAGCACCTGCCACCTCCTGTCCTCCCTGCTGCTTCCAAGTGTCCCCAGGAAAGAGTTCTGGGAATTGGAAAGCGCTGGGCTCTGGTCAGCCCTTGTTTCCTCGGCACTTTGGGACCATCTGGAGTGTGCTGTGTACCCTGAAGAGGAGAGCAGAGTGCCTGCCACCCTGGCACACATTACTGCCAATGTAAAGTCAGCCCCCCTGGCCCTGCTGTGGTTTGGACCTAC